AGGTGCGGGGGCGGGGGGCGCCGAGTCAGACAGCATGGCTGGAGGCCAGCTGCGGGGAACTCGGAAGCATGCATGCCAATAAGTGTTTGTCGAAGGGGTGCATGTAAAAGGAGGCAGAGAGAAGGAGGGAACAAAGAAAAGGAAATGAAGGTAATATTTTGAAAAATCAGAGGAGATGTAAATAGAGAAAAAGGTAGCATTTTTGCAAAAACAGTTAGGTTGTTTTCAAAGGGAGAAGGTTGCATTGGGCTTAATAACACTTGGATTAAGGGAGTTTAGAATAATGGTTACCAGAGATTCCAGGATGCTAGGGAATAGGTGACTAAGAGGTAAGGAGGGCTGGGGTCTGAAAAAAGATCATAGATGAGGCTTTGAGACTGAGAAACTAAATACCACCAAGGATAAGTTGGGGGAGAAAATGGAGAAACAGTGAGGGTTCTATTTTCCTTTGAGGATTTTCTGGGACCTTCTCTGGGTTAGGAATTGTGACTTCTTTGTGTGCTCGTGGTTACCAAGAACAGGAAGCACTACTTCATGGTCCCCGAAGGAGTCAGAGGCCTGTTCTCCTTCATCTCCCACCACTCAGCTCCTCCGGTGCTGTCTGACACTCAGGAGGCCCCGGGAGGGAGTGGGATGGTCCATAGAGGGAACTACACGGCTATGCCCATCTCTGTCAACCTAGGAGAACCGGAGCCTGACCATCAAACTGCGGAAACGGAAGCCAGAGAAAAAGGTGGAATGGACGAGTGACACTGTGGACAACGAACACATGGGGCGCCGCTCATCAAAATGTGAGTGATTGCTGGCCCACGGTAACCCTGGAGTTCTCACTCCCGTCCGCGTGCTTCGACCTCCTCACATCCACTGGCCGGCCTGAGCCCCCAGGTGCCCCCAGTCCTCTTGTTGCCTTGGTGGTTCTCTGGCATCAGGGAGAGGAGGTTAAAATGAGAGGCGCGGAGGGCTCCAATTGGGATGGGATGTCCCAAGGCTTGAAGGCAAGGGGTATCAGAGATAGAGAAGTGGAGCTTTGGACTCCTGGCTCTCAGAAGATGACGGGGTTGAGTGTCTGGGAAAACTGGATCCTGGAAGATAGTAGGAGTCAATAGTGGAAGTAGGAATTCTTATTGAGACCCACTGGGAATGGAACTGACTCTACATCTTACCCTTCCTCCTTTTTAACTGGGCTCCTCCTTCCAAATCCAGGCTGCTGTATTTATGAGAAACCTCGGGCCTTTGGTGAGAGCTCTACGGAGAGTGATGAGGAGGAAGAGGAAGGCTGTGGTCACACACACTGTGTACGGGGCCACCGCAAAGGACGGCGCCGTGGAACCCCCGGACCGAGCCCCACCACCCCGTCCCAGCCCCCTGACCCATCTCAGCCCCCTCCAGGGCCAATGCAGCACTAAATTCCTCTCTCCCTCACCACTTCTGTGTCTGTCTGGCCCTGACTATATTCATGTTGCTACTTGGGGACTACGCCCATGGTTTGATCATTCTCCAGTCCCCACCCACCTCTCTGTCTGAAAGAGGGAAGGAGAGGAGTGTGGACAGAGATCCTGGAATTCTGATTTGCTGCTATCCTAGAACCCAGGCTTCTGGGTTGAAGTACCCATCCTCTTCCCGCCAGGGATCTAGGCATCTTGGTCCCAGTCTCTTCCCTTTGCTCCCACTGCCACATCACCTGCCCTGGGACCCAGCTCTCTCGGCTCCCTGCACTCTGCTTGAGTCCCAAATGCTTAGATTGGATTTCCAACAGCCCCGCTTTCACTGCCAGGGTCCCGGTCAGGTTCCAGGCAGTCCTGCCCCAGCCACGCTTGTCCTGGCTTAGAGCTCTTCCACTAATGTATTTGTATTTATATAGTCCGAGCGCCTGGTCCTTGCTGTGGTGTGAGGGGTCATGGGGAGCTCCCAGCCCTTCTGCTCCACTCCTGCCCTCAGGAGGAGTTGGGGGAGAGAAAGGTCTTTGTCATTCTCACCTTTAATGGAAAATGAGAAAAGAAGCAGTCATGTCCTCTTTCCTCACCCTTCACCTGTGACCTAGGGTTTCTGACAAAGCTGGCTTTGGGAGTGGTCACTTAGGGCCAACTGTCTCTTCAGTTTGGTCTTCCAGCTTCAGAGACAGGTCCAACATCGTCGCAGGGAGAGGAAGGAAAAGAGCAGAGACGAGGGTATGTCCCCTGCACTCCACTCTCACCCCTTCCTGCCTGGCTCTGATGTCTGCCAGTCCAGGCGTCCAGTTCCCTGGCCCTCCTTGGGATCTGAATGTCATTGCCCATGCCTCTGGCCACGCACACATGCAGAGATAATCAGATCCACACCACCACAGAGATCTCATTTATTGACACAGGTGCACAAAATAAATAACCCAACATCATAAAATGTGTTAAATATGGGCCCTTTTATACATGTGGGGGGAGGTGTGAGGCTACACACAAGGAGGCCCTAGGTGTCTGGGCCATCCCCAGGTTGAGGAAAGGAGAGGTAGCACTGTCGGTTTCTTTCTTTCTTTTTTTAATTTTTTTTATTGATTTCAGAGAGGGAGAGGGAGAGTGAAACATCAATGATGAGAGAGAACCATTGATCGGCTGCTCCTACACAGCCCCTACTGGGGAACAAGTCCGCAACCTGGGCATGTGTCCTTAGCTGGAATCGAACCTGGGACCCTTCATTCCACAGGCCGATGCTCTATCCACAGAGCCAAGCTGGCTAGGGCCTTCCTGCTGGCTTCTTACTGGAACAGTGCAGGGGGTAGTTCAGAGAAGGTTCTTTGTGGGAAAAGACTGAACGTGGGAAGCAGTCACCTGAAGTAGGACCCCCCCGCCCCCAAAAGAAAACCACCAACCTTGACATTAAGCTTCCTAGAGAACCCTAAGGCCAGAGCCCAGCCTCTTGCTTCTAGGAGGAGGTCTTGCTTCCCCGGAGAGGCCTGAGAATGGACGGGCAGGAAAGCCTGGGGGAGGCTGGCCTTGTGTTGAGACCAGCAGAGGCGGAAGTGGAGGGGAAATATTGGAAGAGCCTGGAGCAGTGTAGATGGGGGAGGGGCCGGAGGGGAGAAGCTCCCAAGAAGAGGAGTGCAATGGATTGGGCGTTGGGGGTGATGTGGAAACGAGTTCAGTTGAGTCTCACTGTGTGGGAGAAAAGATACCATGTAGGTGGGCAGGGTGCTCATCGGAACTCGCTGCGGGCGGGTGTGGACAGGTCCCTGTGGGAGGGCCTCCGAGCCCCAGAGCAGGCGGGGCCCGAAGGAGGCGCGCGGCTCAGCCCTCCGCCGGCACGATGCGCAGC